GATTTACAGTGCTTGGTGACACTGTGTCAGTGTCCTGGTGCCACCAAATAAAGCACCACAAATGTGGCTTCAAATGGTGGATGGACCTGAGTGCCCCTTTGCATGAGCTGCACCATCGCGATCTCAGTCCCTTGGCCACGTGGCCTTCCCTGTGTCCTCTCTTCCTCTTGTAGGTACACCACCATTGGATTAGGGCTCCTTATTTTAACTAACTACATCTGCAAACACCAATTTCAAATAAATGTCACTTCCTGAGATTAAGGGAGACATGAGCGTGGGGGGACACCACTCCCCCACGACATGTGTATTGGCCTCCCTTCTCTGCCTCATTATTCACCCCGCCTTGGTTTCCTGTGTCTCCTCCTACACGACTCCTGGCTTCAATCCCTGTAGTTAAGGTTTGCTAGCAGAGTCCCACCTACCTACAGCCCCTACCCTGAGCTATGGGGACCCACCTACCTACAGCCCCCTGCCCTGAGCTGCAGTGGCTCCACTGTGCGTAGAGTGTAGACGATAGCCCCTTCCTCCAAGGTTTTGGGAGGACAGAGGAGAGAATGCTAGGGGCTTGGGCTCATGACCATACATAGCGAATGACCACTCCCTGCCTTGGGAATGACTTCGATATTTTTTCGTGATGTGGATGGGCTCCCAGGTGTCAGTGATTTTTTGGTGCCCCTTTAGGGGCAGATGTTTTGGGAGAGTAGGCTGCCTCTCTGAGTTTTGGTGTGGCCAGGGAAGGGACCTCTGTGTCTGGGGCGGCAAACATGGGCAGGTGGCATGTGCATTCCCAGTAGGTGGAGCTGGCACACTGGAGACCCAGCTTGGGGCAGGCTGGGCCCTGGCAGGAAAGGGATGCTTCATCCCCTCAGGGTCATGTGAACCTGGATTCCCTGGGATAGGGCCAAGGCAGGAGGTTTGGAGGCTGTCCCTGCAGAAGCAGAGCTGGTGGACTGGTGGGGTGAGTGGCAGTGAGCAGGGTCTCAGCTACACCTGAACTTGATTCTCCCACCTTTGCTGCTTCAGGTGAGGTCAGAGATGGGTTTCTTCCTTCCCCTGCTTGCCAGTCCTGGCTTGGGCCCTTGGAAGCCCTTCCTTCTGGTGCAGGATGGCCCCCAAGTGCGCAGTGCTGGGCCCCTGCACCCCAACACTGGGCACCACCTTGGGTACACAGTCACCCTGGACCATGCTGGAGGGGTGGGAGAGCTGCCTGGGAGATAGGAGGTAGAGAGGAGTCCCCTGCCTGCACACCTTCACTTTCCAGACCTCAGGGCCAGGTAGCCCCTGACCCCCCACCATTCTCTGGCAGGGAATTCTCCAGGCACAGCTTTGCATTGAGGCCCTGCTAGTAAAAGCCCTCAGGAGGGAGGGCCACAGCTGCTGGAGCAGTGTAGGCATGCTCCATCCTCAGGGCACCTGGAAGGTCCTAACGGGTGTCCCTGGGACCTAGCAGGCGGGGGCCTGAGCACACCTGGGCCTCAGGAAGACGAAGGTAGGCTGGGATTGACCGCAGGGCCTCCACCTGTGAACAGGGTGCTGCACCCACATCCATCAGGTCAGCAGGGCTGCACGGGTAGGCCTGATGGCCAGGAGAGGCCAGTTTTCCAGCATGGAATGTGCAGAACATGGGGGCAAACTATGACAGCTCCCCACGCCTGCCCCAGTCCTGCCCACCTTCGCAGGCCTGCTGTTTTATTCTCATAAATGGGGCATCCTGGCCTCATTACAGATGGTAGCCTCAGGACCAACCAAGCTCCCCCTAGATCACCTGAGCCCCCAAGGACCACCTGAGCCCCTCAGACTTAGCCCCTGGGAACAAATGAGCTCCTTGGGATCACCTGAGCCCCCTGGGACCACTTCTCAAGAACTTCTTGGGGACTGTGGCTGCCTGATCTTGGAGAGAGTCAGAGATGCTGTGGTGACAGGGGCCTGGGCCTGGACTGAATGCCCGCCAAGTGCCAGGTGCTGCCCATGAGGACTTGCTCTCAGTGCACACAGATTGCCCTCCTCCATGACCAGGTGGCTGAGTGGGAACCAGGGTGCAGAGGAGGTGTGAGGACCTCAGGCACTGCTCTGGGAGGCTTTCCTGAGAGAGCCCTGCAAGGAGGGTGGGGGTGCCTGACAGGGATGGGTTGTGGGGCCCACAATGTAGCCACCCTTGGGTGCCAGCTGGGCGTCCAGGAAGGATCATTCAGAGGGAACTCATCTGCAGACCAGCTGCACATGGCTCTGGGGGAGGTGACCCTACCCTCCTCCCTGGACATCCAGAGGTTAGTCCTGGCCTCTCTTTGAGCAACTGGGAGGCACAGGAGCCCTCCAAGACCTTGGCTCAGGGGGCTAGGGTAAGCCAGGGCTTTGGGAGTGATCCTGCCACCTCCAAATGCACGCACAGAGGTCTGCTGTCCCCTGGGAGGGTGGAGGGCAGACACAGCTGTGAGTCAGAGCCATGCATCCAAACGCCTCTCTGCTGTGTCCTAGAGCAGGGCAGCCCCTCTGGGTCTGTGTGCCAGTCTCCAACGGGACCAGACATCTGAAGAAGAACTGGTTGTGTGTCCCCGAGACCCAGGGACCCTGGGGAGGCAAGGGAGCGCTGGTTCTTTACCAGCCCCGGCAGCCATCCCAAGTGCTCAAGGACCACATGGTCAGAGCAGAGTCCCCGAGCCTTCTCCAAGGCTGCTGGCAGATGCCCACTGAACAACTGTCATGTGTCAGCCACTGTGGTGGGTGCTGTGTCCTGAGCTGCTGTGCCATCTGAGGAGGTGGAGGGCAAATGAGGGCAAATGCCCAAGAAAAGGCAGGGGAGTGAGAGGGCTCTGCACAGGTGTCAAGCAGGCTCTTGAACCCCAGGAAAGTAGAAGAGAGGGTGTGTTCGAAGGCCCGGTAATGGGAGCCCAGTGACCTGATGGGGTGGGAACGAGGCCGGAAATGTGGAAGGGCAGACGCTGTAGGGTATTGTCTGTCGCCAGCCCCAGAAATCCCTAAGCCTGACACACAGGTGTGTCAGCCTGGCCTGCCACTCAGACACATGGGTGAAGAGCCCCGACTCCCGTGTGACCTTGGGCAGTGTTTCTCTCTCTGAGCTCAGCTTTACTGCCACTAAGACGCCCTCTGACATATAATTCTTTTCAGTGAGCAGCTGGCTCCTTCCTCTTCCCAGGACTGTGGGGGACACGGACTGCACCCACTCTGGGCCCGGTGGGGCATGTGTTCCCTGGCTGAGGGCTCAGCAGCCCTGGAGTCCGTGGTGGGAGCTGGCTCCAGCCACAGGCAGCCTCTGCCAAGGCCCTCCCTCTCTCCCCCCATCATACTGGCCTTTCTGTCTCTGCTCCCCTGTGGTGGAGACCCTCTCTAATGTGCATGGTGCTCCAACCACAGCCCCAAGCCTGATGCCAGGACCCCCAGCTGGTAGCCCTGCCCCCAGGGATAGGTAGTAGAGCATGCCCAGGCTTTGGGGCAGGATGGGGCCAACGGGGGGGACATTCCTAACAGAGGGAGCAGGACAGGATGGGGTCCAGAGAGCAACCCACCTTCTGGGGCCAAATACCAACTACCTGTGAACTGGGCCTCCACAGGAGTGGCTAACACCATCAGGATCCTTCACAAGAGCCCCCAAGTTTCTCTATCTCCTGGAAAGCTGGAAGCTGCAGGCTCAGGTGCCCATTGCAGGGGTCTGCATCGAGGCCCACTGGAGCCACAAGGCCATGTCTCCATCCCTGCTCTGACTGATCCCACTGTTAAGACCCCCAAGCCCGCCTGTGGCCCCTGCCTCTCAGAGCAATGCCAAAGGAGACCCACGGACACCTCAGGGCTGGGTGCCCCTACCCAACACGCCCTGCTCCACTCCATGCCGGGCTCCGCTGGCCCCTACGGCCTTGGTGGTCCTGCCCTGGCTTGGGCACTCTCCCGGCAACACCTGCCCTAGGGGCCTGAGTTGGGGAGTCTCCCAGGGGCTGCACGCCCTCGCTGGCTTGGGTCCTTCCAAGCTTGCACCATTTCCTGTGGCCATCTCCCTGTCTCCTCGCTCCATGTCCTCGCCCAGCACTGCCTAAAGTTGACAGCTAGGGCACTTTCCTAGTCCTGCTGCAGCCATGGCACATGGGGGCCCTGGGTGGGGGCCCACTGTCACCCTCAGACCCCAGCAGATGCCTCCATGACAGCAGATCAATTCCAGCTGCCCCCTCAATTTGGAGCTTGTGGGACTTGTTGAGACCTCCTGTGACTCAGTTTCCTCAGCTGTCAAGTGGGAACATCCTGGGGGAAGAAGCTCAGCTGACCCAGCTATATGCAGTAGGTGCCCAATCAATGCATGAGGCAGTGAGAGCAGAACTGGGAGAGGGCAGGGACTGGACAAGCCAGAAGGGGGCCTTCATGGCCTCTGCCGTCAACTGTCCCTCCTCCTGCTGGACAAGCCCTGCCCTCCAGAGCCTGTTTCCTGGCTGGAGGCGGGGCCAGGACACCCTCTGCAGGTGAGCACTCACAGAGGCGGGACTGAGGCCCAGGTGCAGAGCAGTTACACAGCTAGAGCGGCATGTCACCAGGTAGACCCATGGGGGTGTAGGGAGGAGCCCCGGCACCTGCATAAGCTCACCTGGGCCCTGCCCACTTCACCTAAGCCTCAACCCCACCACACTTGGTGACCAGTTTGCCCATTTCTGGCTCCCACACTGACCCACCCATCCCCAGGTAGGTGCCCTGTGGGTATGCCCACAACTGTGTAGTGACAGGGGTCCTGGCATGGTGTCACGGGATGTCAGAGGGTTGGGAGTCTCTCTGTGTGCTCCTGAGGCCCTATAAGCAGCATTCATCTCTGTGGCCTCCCCGACATGGGTGGGAATGCCCAGCACCCTGCCCTCCCAGTGGAGCCTGCCTCTGCCCAATGGGAGAGCAGGTCTCTGGGCACAGCACAGAGCTGGGTTGAGGTCCAGGCCTTTCCCACCACTGTGCCTCTCTGTTAACCACACACCTGACCATAGGTGGGCCCACTGGGGACCCTGCCCCAAGGCTGTGTCCAGCTGCTGGCTGCCAGCATTTATTTACTCAGACAGGCACTGCCTGCTGCCCACCAGGGGCACAGGCACAGACCTCAGTCCACCACGTGATGCCAGTGGGCATGCTGGTGAGGTTCTCAGCAAGGTCTGGTGGGGCAGGCCCAGGCCCATGGCCCACACTCCCCATGGGGGTGCTCCCATGGTAGCCAGCTGCCAGAAGAGGGCAGAGGGGGGAGGAGGAGGCGGGGCTTGTCAGGTTCGGCTCACAGAGTAAATGGCGCTGACAGGCAGGCAGCAGACAGAGGGACAGCATGACCACGGGCTCCACCAAGCGTCTCTGGGCCCCAACCAGGGTGCTCACTCCACCTTCCTGAGCCAGATTCTGCATGGCCACATGGTTTGGGCCTGGCTCGTTGTCAGCCGGCGCCCCGCCCTGGGCTTGCTGCTGGGGCTGCTGGCAGAGGCCAGGCTCTTTGTGATGTGCCAGGTGACTCTGGGCATATGGTTGCCCTTCTGGGCCTCTGTTTCCTCCCCTCTGAAGCAGAGGGGTGCTCCAGGGCCAAGTGCTCTGTGGCCTGTGGGCACCTCCACAATCCTGGCACCCTTTGTGCCATCATGTGGCCTCTGACACCACCTCCCAGATGAGCACAGGCTCTGCCCTGGGGGCTCACAGAGCTGAAGGTGTGGCCAAGATTCAGCTCACGGGTGCTGGAGCCTGTGACTGCGGGGCCCCCAGGCTGCGCGGGGCCTGGGCTCCTTGGGTGGCAGTGGTCAGAGCCTCCAGCCAGCGCTGCTGCAGCTTGGTGAAGAAGCACTCAGGTACAGGGCCTGCAGGGCTGGGCGCAGCCGCCACACACGCCTGTGTGCAGCCCCTCCGCAGGGTCCACGCTCACTGTGCAGCTGGAGAGGGGCAGGGCCTGCAGTGGCTGGCCATCCTGTTGAAAAGGAGTCACAGATCAGCACCCAGCCTCTGGAGCCCTGGTGTCACTCAATACTGTCTCCCTGCTAGCAGGCAGCCGGGGAAACTGAGGCCTGCAAGGTTGGAGAGCCCAGGCAGCGTGTCCCAGGCCCCTCTGGGCAGCACACCTGGGGTTCTGGGCTGCAGGGAGAGAGGCTGACCCCGACACAGCCCTGTGGGTGGGACACCCCTGACCACCCCCTGCAGGTGCAGCACTAGCTCCTGGGGGCTGACTCTAGGATGGTGGCCCCCACCGAGCTGCAGGCCCACTGCTGCCCAACACACCACACACAGCACACATCACACACCATGCACACAACAGAACAACCACACGCCATACACACATACATACACACCCCTCTCTGCTGACTGTCCGGAGCAATCATGGTGCACACTGTAGGGTCGGGGAGCCCCCAGATGCACATGGTGGTGGAGTTCCTGCTCAGACCTCAGCACTGGAGGTCCACATGGAGGAATGCCCTGTGCCATGAGGGTGCTCCCTGGAGGAATGCCCTGTGCCATGAGGGTGCTCCCTGGAGACTGTTCTACACTCAGTTCCCTTAGATGGGATTCAGCCACAGCCTGGCCCACCTAGAGCCCTTGGAGCCCTTGGAGAGGGAAAACAGAATAAACAGCTTCCCAGGGGACCCCGATATGCAGCTGGCCTGAGAACCATGGGCTATGTTATGTGGAGAAGACAGGAAAGTGCACTTTTTTGGAAAACCACATTCTCTACTCCCCAGTTTTCCTGTCACCACTTGGACGAGGGCTTGAAAGGTGGTGGCTACCCCCGGGAGGGCAGGCCACCCCTGGGAGGGGCTGGTGCACACCCTGGCCCCCCAGCAGTGGCTCAGGTGAGGCATCTCCCCTGCAGGCCCTCAATCAGGGTGACCGTGAGTGAAGGTGGGACTTGTTCCCATCTGCTGTGCCCTGAACTGGGGCCCCCAGATCCATGTGTTGAAGCCCTAACCACCCCTCACATGATTGTATTTGGAAATGGGGAAATTTAGTTAAATTAGTGGGCCCTGATCCCATATGACTGGTGTCTTTATAGGGAGAGGAGATCATGACAGACACACAAAGGGATGGCCACGTGGGGACACAGGGAGGACAGGGTGTCTACACCCAGGAGGCAGGCCTCAGGAGGACCAGCCCTGCCAGGACCCTGATCTTGAAATCCAGTCTCCAGGACTGGAAGAGAATAAATTTCTGCTACTTAAGCTGCCCTGCCTGTGCTATTTTTTATGCAGCCTGAGCTGACTGATGCACCATCTAACTCCTGGTATAAAGGGTTCCCAAGCCCTTGGCCATGACTGGATCCTGAGAAGCCCAATAAGCACACAAGATATTTGGTGTTCAACTGCCAGCTGCTCCCAGGGCCTGTAGAACCCTGCCCGGTCCTGGTGGCAGGGAAGCCGGCAGTTCTGGGAGCACAGCCTGCCAAATGTGCCTGGAACGGATGCTCCCTCCAGAAGGCTCACAGGATCTGCCCACCTACCTCTGTGCTGTGCTCGGACACAGGCAGCACCTCGAGGCTCAGGCTCGTGGGAGCCACCGGCTGCATCAGGAAACACCCTCGGCAGACACGGCTCTGCCTGCCATTCTCAGCCTTGAACTCAGAGCACTTCCCACAAATGATCTGCAGGACAGAGAGCACCTGTGATCCCAACCTACTGAGGACAGAAAGCTGTCCGGGAAGAGGCCGGCCGGGCCACAGGCCAGGAGAGACAGCTGCATGTGGAGGGGACAGGCTTCTCCATGGGCCCTGGGGGCGGGGGGCCTGGGCGGATGACCTGCCCCCTTGCCTGGAGGGTCCAAGGTCCAGGGGTCTGCATGCAGGGAAGGAAGACTGGAAGGAGGCAGTGAGCCAGGAGAAGGGTCCAGCAGAGAGAAAGAGGACAATGAACCAGACGCAGCCTGAGAGGTGGGAGGAGTTGAAATCGGGAAGAGGGAGCTGAGGGGCCTGCCGGTGGGGGTGGGGGGAGCACAGGTTAGTAAGAGGTATGGAAAAGTCACTGAGAGGCTTAATTCTCACCTGCCTATCCATCCATCATCCACCCCCTCACTCCCCACCCCCCCATCCATCCACCCACCCACCCACCCACCCAGCCACTATCCATTAGTCCACCCATCCATTCACCCACCCACCTACCCATCTGCATACCCATCCATCCACCTGTCCATTCGTCCACCCATCCACCTGGGTACCCACCTACTCATCCACCCACCCATCCACCCATTCATCCATCCATCCATTGGAGGACCCATCCATTTATCCCCCTTCCCTGCCACGTGCTCAAGGTTTTAGGCAGGGGTGTGACAGCAAACACCGTACTAGGCCTGGCTGCCATTACCCTTTGGAAAAACAGCTCCAAAGCTGGGACCCACTTGCTAACATAGATTTTAATTACTTAATCTAAAACAACTTGAGTCCACAGTCGTCCTTTCTCGGGGGTAATTTTTCTTCTTCATGCCAAACAGCCATCCTCAGAAGAAGGACTTTGGGGGTGGGCCAAGTCAGGGGGAGTGGAGAGGCATGCACCTGAGTGCCCACTGGAGGCAGCACCTCTCATGAGGGCCCACTGGACCTTGGGCACCACTGCAGTGCCAGGACCCAGGTAACAGAAGGGGCCCCTCCATGGCCATACCCTGCACCTGTTCTGTCCCCTTCACCTCCCTCCCATCCCCCTGCTCTCAGGCCTCCCACCTAGGGGCTCTGTGGTTCCAAATCCTGCACTTTCTGAAGTGCAACATGTGTTGTCAGACACCAGAGAGAATGAGACTAGCTTCCACTTCAGACAGGCTACCTCCTGTCTGCATGAGGGCGTCTGTCCTTGTGTGTCCTTGGGACCCAGGTGGAGCTGCTGTGGGACCACGGGGATGGCACTGGCGCCCCAGACTCACCACCCCGCATAGCTTGCAGCGGTGCTTCCTCTTGGTGATGGAGTTGAAGGTCTCCCCACAGCTCCAGCAGCCCTGCTTCTCCTTGTCCCACCTGCTCTTAGAGGACCCCCTCCAGGGCTCAGGCTGCGGGAGGTGAACGGCTGCAGTCAGCATCCCAGTCTGCAGAGGGAAGGGAGCTGGAGCCCCTCTGACGCCCACTTCACAGGCCACCATCACCATCTCCCCCAGTAACAGTCAAAGGGGTCCAGGACATTATGCTTGGAATGACTTGGCCCTACACAGAGGGCAGCAGAGATAACCTGGTGACAAGTGGGAGAGCCCACGCTGGGAAGGGCCTGCACAGGGGCCCAATGCTGGGGCGGGGGTGTCTGGGCCCCTCCCACCCACCCTGGGGTCCAGAAGCAGGTCTGGGGCTTTGGTCCCTGCCTCTGTCCTCCGCTACCTGAATGTCCCACCAACGAGGGCAGAACTGAGTCAAGTGAGAAATGACAGGAAGTCATGGACACAGCGTAGCTCGTGTTTACAGACGTTAGAGCTCTCAGACAGCCGCGAGAACACCCTAAAATGTTTCTAAGCTTAAACATGCTGTGTCTTTAGGTCGAAGAGATTGCAAGGACCACATGAGCTCCTCAGAGTAAGGAGGGATTGGGGCTGGAGGGGGTTCTCTTCTACTTTACCACCTGAGCTTTTACAAATGAGTATTTGCTCTTTTCATTGTTAAATGTGTTAAAAACTTTTTGAAAATCTGATGCTGTTCAACACTAAGGCATAGGTGCCATGAAAAGGCCCAGGTTGTGAACAGGCCAGACTATTGAAAGGCGCCAGGTCACACTGCTAGGGGAGACCGAGGTGCCAAGCAGCAGACCACACACGGACACCGGCACCAGAGGATACGGAGGGGCATGGCTGAAGTCTGCGTGGAGGTGCCCAGAGAATCCCACAGCTGTTTGGGGTAAGGGGAGCTTTTTTTATCTGACTCTCTTAGAGGATTTTCTCACTTATTCACCAAGAACATCTTGTGAAAGAGGAAGAAAACCAATAAACAAGTGAGGTTGGGTGGGATTGGCTCAGTCTAGGGGCCCACCCACGTGGTGGGGGACAGGTCTTCCTGGTTCCCTTTGGGATGAGCTGATAAATGGACACAGGCTCGTGGGGACGTCAGGAAGGCCTGGCCCACATCTTCCATGGAGGGGCAGAACTAGGGCTGCCAGCAACTGCCAAGTGCCTCCTCCCTAAGTGCCCAGCCAAAAGGTTTCCTGCCAAGGGCCTGGGGCATTTCAGCAGCCTTTTCACTTGAATGGGGTTTCAAGTGGTGGTCTTGCCCACCAGCCCCTGCGGATGGAAGCTCCCAGTCACCCTTGGGTCCTACAGGGTGAGAACCAGTCCTGGGTCTCAGCCCTAGCTGCTCTGCTGTTGGGCAGCTCTGCCCTGGAGCCCAGAGGGTGGGTGCAGGGCAGAAGGACAGGGCCAGCTCTGTGCATACCCCAGGTGATGGGGTGGCAGCAGAGACTTAGCTCACATTGTGGAGGGGTCCACCTGTTGCCAGAGTGGGTCTGGGGCCCCAGAGGCCTTTCAGACTCTTTTCAGACTCACTCCTGTGCTTCTGAAGAGCTATGGGACTTTTGCAGAATGGGAAGGCTTGCTTTCTTCAATGCTGCCTTGTGAAACTTCCTGGTCTGGGCTTATCTTCTCTTAGGAAAGTGGGGTTGCAGGAACCATGCATCTGAGGACACTAGGGTTCAGGAGTCAGACCAGCACACCACATGTGGGTTTCCTCTTCCTCCCCAGATGGGCTAAGAAAAACTTAAGTGTGGCTCTTTGGAGCAAGGTCACTTTTTCTGGTGTCAGAATTAAAGCTAATTTTGAGTGCCTTCCACAAACACCCCTGAGCATATCTCCAATCAAGCCCTGCGTGGCCCCAGACTGAGATGCCCAGGCCCACCAGCCCCACTCACAGGACAGAACCATGGCCAGCCACTTGCACAGCGGCTGGAGCTGTATGTCTGCGGCTGTTTTGTTTGTCTTGGAGCCTGGCCGCAATGTCAGGGAAAGGGACAGGGACAAGAGACCTGAACTTACGTGGTGACCCGAAGCATCTGGCAAGTGACAGATGCTGTGGAGCCTGAGGAAGGCTGAGCCACGGGCAAAAGATCCGGCCGCCGAGCACGGCCATCACCACCTCCAGGTCTGCTGACAGGTGAACTGGCCCAGGGGACTCTTCCAGTTACCTTCTCACCCACGGAAGGATATGGGTAGCTGATGAGGGACACATGATCGGAGCTAACATGGCTTCTTGCTCATGTCTCCACCCAGGTGGACATTGAAGGTGGGGGCGCTGAGGAGTGGGGACTTTCCCTAGGACTCCTGTCAGGACCCACATCACAGGTTAAAACATTTAAAAACGTGGCCTTCAGGTCCTTTCCGGCTAGAACATTCTCTGATGGACCAGCCCCACCTCCTGCTGCTCTCTCCCAGCCTTGAGGCCTGGTCTTCTCTGCCCAGTCCCTCTGACCACCCTTCCACCTCCCTGTGTCCTGGGACTGAGGTCTATCTCCAGCCCCCTGCAGACTTGTGTCCCCAGGAGCACACATTCTACACAGACGGGGGTCTCTTACCCACCTTGATGCCTCCAGACCTGCCCCAGGCTGAGGACTGGATGACATAGAGCCCTGTGTGGGGTCTAACTTGGCTCCCCCGAGGGGCAGGGAGGGCTGTGCTCTGGGAAAAGGGTCATCACAGAGGCTGTCAGGGACCCTGGGCTGAGGGACCTCAGAGCTGACTGGGAGCCTCAAGTCTTGCACAGAGCAGATGTAAGTGAGACCTTCTGGACAGAGGGGACAGCAGGTGCAAAGGTCCTGGAGTGCTGCTGTGCAAGGGGAGGGCAGAGTATGACAGACAGAGAACACCACCTGGGGAATTTATGGGGCTGTGACCCGATAGTCTCTCTTCTACCCCAGCTGCTTTCTGCCGTCCCAGTTACAGTGAATTACTGCAGCCACCATGTGGCAGCACCTTTCAAATAAGGGGCCTCCCTTCTCTTACTTGACCCCCATGCCTATTGTGACCCCAAAATGCTCCATCCCTCCCCAGGAGCCCAAGAGCTTCTCAAGGCCTTCCCCACAGCTTCCCCAGGCCATGGGGATTCAGGGGGTGCTGGTGGCCCAGCCAAGCTTCTGTTCTCCTCATGGAGCAGGTCAGGTGCTGGCATCCTCGGGGCACACAGCATGGTCGAGGGGACCCAGGTTTTCTTACTAAAAATTCAAGTCTCAACAAGAATGCTTATGCCTGTGACCAGTGAGACAGCTGCCCTCCTTGCCTCTGCTGCCTTCCCACCATGGGAGTTTGTGGCTAGAGGCCAGGCCTGCTCATAGCAAGCTCATTTCCTCCTCCTAAAATGGGGTCATCCATGGCAACACCCAGCCCAGCCCCTGGAAGAGAACCTACAGGGTAGTGCTGGTTCCCAGAGAGGAAGGAGCTCTAGGACTTGGTACTGGATTCAGGCTGACTCACGCCTGTGAACCAAGGGAATATGGGGTGTTGCCTAGACCCCAGGAGGAAAGCCCTTCAGGAGCAAAGTGTGGCTGGGGCTCATGCAGCCCAAGTGGGCAGGACTCCGGCTGTTGCCCTGAGCCTGGAGAGCAGAACCAGGGTGCCCAGGAGAGTCCCCTTGCAGAATCCAGGGTGCTGTACTTCCCACGTGGCCAAGGGCTGTCATTGCCATTTGTAGTCACTGCGTCTAGGCCTAGTGGCTAATCAGGATGTCCTCCTGTCCTGACGCTCACTATACACTAGGTGCACACACTTGCCCTCCTATCTAGTCCCCCCAACAACTGGCAGAGAGGAGGGATTGCGAAGTCCAGGGGCCCTCCTGACTGAGCCCCTTCCCATCCCCCAAAACCTTTCTCTTTGGAAGGCTGGCCTCCTATGTCTGGGCGCCCCCTCGATTCCTGTCTTACCCACACCCATGAAGCAAAGAGCACGGCCCAACTGTGTGACAGCACCCAGCCAAGGGCCCTGGGGGCTTCCGCCAGCCCTGCCGCACAGCTCCCAGAGGTTGTCAGTGTGGGGCCTTGAGTCACATGGCATGGGGTTGGACCCTGCAGCTCACCCTAAGGTCAGCCTGCTCTGACCCCATCCTCTGCCTCTTGCTCCTGGTGGAGCTGGGAGGTCACTCACCGCTGCAGCCGCCCCTCTGCCATGGGCCCCCACGGGCTCCTCAAAGCCAGGGCCCACCATCTGCAAGGGAGAGCCAGCCAGGGTGAGCAGAGGTTCCCTGGTGGGGGCTCAGCAGGGACCACAGGGACATCCCAGCCCTTCTGTCTGGCCACGGGGTCAGGAGAAAGACTGAAGCTTGCTGTGACTTTGAGGCACCCAGTTCCCCTGGCCCAGCTTCTCCTGAGTCCTCATCCACTGTGGGGTGGGTGGCGTGATGTTCCAGGTGGCTCGCCTGCCCAGTTGTGCCACACCACTTCAGTGATGTGGCCTGGATTCTAGCCCCACCCTCACGCCTCCTGGGGGAGAGCTGCACTCTGCTTCTAGGGCAGGGTGGGGGGCGCCTCTGGGGGACTTTAAGGGTAGCTGTGGTCAGGTGTTCTGTTCCTGGCCACCTCCTTTCAAGGCAGGCAGCGGCATGTTCCTTTATCTGGGAGTGATGCAAAGCTTCCTCCAACATGTCCAGAAAGCAAACAAAATCCAGTAGATTTGATGCAAATGTTATGAGGAAAACAAAGTGGCTTGGACCACAGACCTGGTGAGGCTGTGGGAGGCCCACCCAGGTCTGGTGCTGCCTTCTAGGGGCTCTGGTCCTGCTGGGCTGTTATTGCTTGACTTCTGGATGCTCTGATGGGGGGCTCAGAGAGGGGCCCTTGCTCTGAAGTTCTGTGCCCAGCTAGGAGGTGGCCAGGGCCTGGGGCAGCCCCCAAGGGGCAGCTGCAGCTGAGCCCCACAGCTGGCCCTGGTGGGGACCCTGCTTCCTGGCTGCCCCAAGTTCCTGGAGTGGCTCTGTGTGGGAGTGCAAGAGCTGCCCCCACTGATAAGACCACAGCCCTGCGGTGCCTGGGAGATGTAATGCCTCCTGTACAGCATCATCCAGCCCAGTTTCCTTACTGCCCACCTGAGTGCCCACCCTTGCTGAGAGGTCCAATGTCCCCATGTGGGCACTCATGTGGGTGGGCAGTGAATGCACTGACCAACCCCTGGTCCCCGGCTTCCCTCCCAGACTCCAGCCCTCAGGCACGCAGCCTGGACCACCTGGTGATGGGCACACGGTCCCTGTAGCTACTCCCCGTCCAAGTGAGCTGTCAGCAGGCCCTCCCATGACCCAGGAGCCCTGGCACTCACAGGGAGTTCTGGAGTGAGAGTGGCCTCATCCTGGCCGAAGGAGCTGCTGAAGGCCTTGAAGCTCTGACTGTTCTGCTTGTGCTGCTCCATGGTGGCCTGGATGACCTGAAGTGAGACCAGAGCACATGGGCCTGGAGAGCTCATCCAGAGGGGGAGAAGGGGGGCCTGTCTCCCTGAGGATGGGGTCCAGTGGGCAGCTCCAGTGCACCTACAGGCAGCTGGGCCCCTCCTGCAGTCTCCTCCCCCCACAGGCTTTCTGGTGGTGTGTGGATTCCCAGTTTCCTGCACTGGCATTTCCACCTAATTACTATTTGAATTTATTTCTTCTCACCCAAATCTCTCTTCTCCCCAAGTCTAACCGTCAGCTTCCTGCCCCAGCCCTGCTCTGTGGCAGCCCTCCTGACCCTCACCATCTCAGGCTTATGTCACTGTCCCATCTGTTCCAACGGTGGCCAGTTCTGAGCTGAATTGGCTCTGGCTGCTCCAGAGTGCCACCCCGCCAGGCCTGCCTGGAAGCCCAGGCTCTGTCCCGCCAGTGGCACACACTGCTCGCCCCACAGGAGCCGGCTGTGGCAAGGGGACAGTGCTTCTGGACAGTGGACACCTGGCCCTGCGACAGGGGCGCCTCCCAGCCTGCCCACCACAAGGCTCTTCATGGTTATGTATTCACTGGGGCCCAACACACACAAGAAGTGAAGGCACGGGGCATCTGAAGGCCCTCTGAACACCGTCACACCACCACCTCAAGGCAGGCAGTGGGCAGGAACTTCCTGGGGAGTCACAGGCCACCCCATCCGTTGTTCCAAAGTGAAATGGCCATGCTGGTCAAGAACGTGGTCATTTGGTTACTTTAGAACTTTAGGGTCTTCACCTGAATCCATTCTTTCTTCTCCTCTTCTGTCCTATAAAAATAAAAGCAGTATTTTATTAATCTGGGCTTGGATACAGCCTACAAACTCCCCTCAGGCCTGTAGCACCTGCCCAAGCTGCTCACTGCCTAGGCCCAGTCAGCCCAAGGTTTGCGAGATTGGCCCTGAGGTCTATGGAATGCTGGCCAGATGTGGCCAGGTGGGGTCAGGCACAGTCAGGTGGGTCAGGGGTGGCCAGGTAGGGGCCAGGGGTAGGGGGAAGAACTCTCTGCAGTGGTTGCAAATCAGTGCCGCTCTAGACCATGGTGGGTTGCTATACAGGCCTCATGTCACTGGCAGAAGTGAGAGATGGGAGGTCCCACACACCCTGCCACCTGGTGCCGCCTTGCTGGGCAGTGGGACAACAGCCCATGAAAGGTGAAGCACCTGTGCTGCCCTCCGGCCAGCAGTCCCACTCCAGGAATCCTGCAGATCTAATGGCACATGGGTACAAACCCAGGGCAAGGATCTGAAGCACCATTTGCAAGAACAGCAGGCCCCTGCTCATGCGTGCCTGTCTGTGAGAATGGGTGGATGATCACAGGGGAGAACTATGCTGCTTTATGGGAGGGGATGATTTCTGATAAACTAAGTGAAAAAAGCAAGATGCAGAACAGGCTGCACAGTAAATGGCCCTTTGAGACTTTAGATTTTAATACTCATGGTTGAGCACAGAAATTCTGGAAGGATACATCAGAGATGTTTAAGAAAGCCTGCTGGGGGCAGGGGACAGGAATAGGGCAGAGGGGTAATTTTCTTTGACTTTCTCTTAATACTGTTATATTTTAAACAACAAATAGTGAGTAAGATGAATAAAAGACAACAGATCATAGGGCTATCCAGTTTAGAAAAGAAGCCACCCACAATGTCAGGTCAGAGACATTCATGCAACAGCAGACCCTGAGGCAGCCCAGCATACCGTGTTTGCAGCTCCAGGGACCTTTTCCTTCCCACTAGGATGAAAGTGGGGGCTGAGTTCGGCTTGACGACATCCTGCACCTAATAGCACAAAGACCAAGACTGACACAAAGCAACTGGTCACTTCGCAGCCCTGAGCTGCGGCTCCATGCTCTCAGACACGGTCTTCCTGGAGGAGGGGGCAGACGTGACCCAGTGGGCTGGACACCGTATGAGCTGATCCATGAAGGGGAGCAGACCTCTCAGCCTCTGCGCTTGGAACTGTGCTGGCCAGCCCACCTGCCCTGGACCCCCAGGCCCTTCCCCATCCAGACACCCATGGCATGACCCCTGACAGAGGGATGGGATGCTCAGAAAAGCCAAGAGGATCTCCACCACTCTGCTGGGGCTCCTGAGCCCCAGGGTGCAGTGCCCTGGGTCTCCCAGCCCCCATGAGGTGGAGAAACCCCTCACCCCCAACACCCTATCCCACGGCCCCTCAGCCTGGCCACCTTCAGAACCACAGCCTGTGCTGTAGGGAGATACAGGCCTGGTCTGCCCAGAATCTGGGCCGGTGGTCTCTCAGCAGGACTTCCCCCGATGCCCCAAGGTTGAGAATGTCTATGTGAGCACATCCAGCTAAGCACGCATGACTGATTTCTTACAGAGAAACATTGGAACATGATTTATTCTAACTATGGAAGAAAGAAGGTTTTTCCTAGTTAGTCATTATTTTTAAAGGTGTTTTTTTCAACCTGGATTCAGATAATGTCAAGGTAAGAAGTGATTTTTTTTTTATTATCGGTAACCTTCACTTTAGTACTGACTAAAGTATTTTATGTAGCCAATATTTTTGGGGTGCCCCTTAAATTCAGAACCTCCTCCACAGGAGAGGAGGCTGATTCCAGGCCCTGCAGCCCCCACGCCAGGGGACATGCATGGTCTCAGGAAATAGGGGCAGCGAGGGCAGTAGGTCTGGATTTGGGGCAGAGACACCTTTGAAACCTCCTCTATGTCTGAGATGGTGTCGGGGAGGAGAGAGCATGAGATCAGGGGGTCAGGGGCCAGGAGGGAGGACGCCCCTTCCCTGTGCACCCTGAGTGCCAACCTCACAGGAAGCAGGGGTCTGCCCAAGTTCTGAGGCTGACTTCCGTCCACGAACACCAGGCCAGGGGCACCCTGGCAGGCAGGCCCAGGAGAGGGCTGGGGATCCTGCCCGGCGGGCCCAAGATGCCAGGCCAAGTCGTCCTCGGTGATGTTCCTGCCACGCCTGGGTCACAGACTGAGCCGAGCCCACAGGAGCATGTGGGAGGAGGGGTGATGCTTCAGGTCCCACCCCGCCCCATGCCCTCCCAGGGGAAGCAGGGGCTCACCCACCTGGAGGTCCGAAATGTCCATCTTCTCCCGGACACTGAATTTTTGCCCCATGAGCCGCAGTTTGGGCACGCAGTAAAGGATCATGCTGTTGAACTGCAATGGGGACAAGCCCGGGTGAGGGGAGGTGGCAAGGGTGCCAGGCGGGAGGCCCCCGGGAGAGAGGTGTCCCTGGGGCAGGGGATGCAGGGGGTGTGGCCCCGGGGTGGGCTGGGGCTCAGGCGGCGGGCTCACCAGGAAGAGGTGGCGGTCCTGGGCTGCGCCACTCTTGGCCGACAGCTTCTGAATGTGGCCCTCCTTGATGAGCTCGTTGGCAGGGTTGACAATGTTCTCCTCCCCTCCCAGCCGCTCGTACACCTCCAGGAGCTTGTGCATCTTCTCCTGTGGGAGACAGGACTCAGGCGGCCAGTGGCCACAAGAGCGGGCCTGATGGCGGGAGACCCAGAGAGGACCGGAGATCGGCCTGCAAAAGTGTCAGGTGAGGCGGGCGCTGAGCCTGCTGACCACGGGAGTGGAAAGATGTGGGACCGTGCCGAGGACAGCAGCCAGTCAGGAGGGTCCCCATGAGCACAGCGCAGTATTAACTCACTGAGCTCCAGCACAGACCCTGAGAGGAGGGTGTCAATTGGCCCCAGTTTACAGAGAAGGAAACAAGGCACAGAGAAGTCAAGTGAGCTGCCAGAGGAAGACATGCGTGTAGACAACACATCCCCATACAAGCAGCCACTTCTCATTTCTCACTTGTGAGAGATGTGGGGTGAAAGAAATAATTCACTTTCTTTCTCCTCAAAATCCAGAGTTCCCGTGTGACCATACCCAGGTCTCAGGATGGGGACAACCAGGGTCAGGTGGGGACTGGAAGCCTGGACAGCCAGCCCTGTGAGGGGGCCGTGCCCACCCAATTGACGTGACAGGTTGCAGTGTGGGCCCAGAGTTTCTGGGGTTTTCTAGGAAAGCCAGGAATTTGGGTTTTCTTGGGATGCCCTGAACTGTCATTCTGGCAGGACATAGAGATTCCTGCACCCTGACCGATATGCATGCCCAGCTGGGTCCAGGAGGCTTCCCCGGCCTGCAGACCCCATTACTTGGTGTGAGATCAAGGGTTGCCATCCCCTCCACCTTCAGGCTGTGTATGGAGGTGATTGGTGTAGGAGGTCATGGTCATGAGGGGGGACCCACAATGGGATCAGAGCCCTGAGATCCCTCTGCCCCCAAGAAAATGCTGTCTGCAGACCACACACAAATCTGCAGTGCCTGTGTCTGGGACTTCAAACCTCCAAGCTGCAAGCAAGATCTGGAGTGGAAGTTGCCCGTCTGGTGGTTGCTACAATCTGACTGTGGCTGGCACCAGTGAGTGACAGGGATACTAGAGCTAGTGTTGCCTGAGCCAGGTCCTATGCTGAGCACTGTATGAGAGTGGCTCTCAATCCCAACACCCCATGAGGCAGGCTCTGCCAGTGACCTCAGTTTACAGATGGGGAAACTGAGGCATGGGTGCTAAATAGCTTCCAGTGCTGGTAAGGGATAGGCCACCTGGCCCCATGCTGGCCGACAGATGGGTGAGAGTGGGGCTGGTGGCGCCTGCTGTGCTGTGCCCTCATCACATGGGCACATGTGCCCCACCCCCTGCCCCGCACTCACCATTTTCCGAATGGCAGCGTTGGAGTGCTTGGCGGCTGTGGAGATGAGCTCCAAGGATCCTACAGGGTGAGGACCTGGAGTTGGGCCAGGCTCTGCCCTCTCCGACCCTTTCCCAGGGGGGTGCCCAGACTGCTTGTGGCCCTGCACACACACCCCATTTGCTGGGGCTTTGCTGGGGCCACTACCCTGCACAGATCCTTACCCAGGGCTGCCCGCCAGCTGCTGCTCAGGGACCAGGACTGGCCTCCTCCTCAGAACAGCATCCACCCCTCACACCACATGGCTGGGGGGGTTTTCCTCCACCCTCAAGGGCTCTCAGCCACTTCCCCTAGTGTGATTAGGGGGTGCTTGGCACGCTCCCTCCATCTCTCTCTCTCTGTCTCTCCGCCTCCCTCTTTCTGTCTCTATCTCCCTCTATCTCTGTCTCTGTCTGTCTCTCTGTCTCTGTCTCATCTCTGTCTCTCTCTTTCTGTCTGTGCGTCTCTGCTTTTCCCTCTCTGTTTTTGTCTCTGTCTCTCTCTTTTCGTCTCTCCCACCCTCGTGGCTTTGGGTTTCCTCCCTGCTCCTGCCCCAGGAGCCCCTGGCCCCACTGGCTCACTCTGTGCGTCTCTCCGGTCAGGGGCATCCCCTGGGAGCCTCAGCAGGTAGTCCTTGAGCAGCAGCTCATAGCGGGGCACCCTCTGCACAGGCTCCAGCATGTGGTGCTGCAGCGTCAGATTCCCACACACCTCCTGCTTCTGCGGGGAGACACGTGTGGCCCTGGCCCCACCTGCTTCTGCCCCCTGCCTCCAGAAGCCCTGGAGGAGAAGGAGGCTGCCCGGTGCACCCACACTGCTGGCTGTAGACACATTTCACCACAGGGGAAACTGAGGCCAGAGAGGCTGACCAACAGAGCAAGCCCCAGGCCGGGTCAGGCGGGCTGCTCTAGAGCAGCGCTTGCTGCAGCATGCATGGCGCCCCTTCCTGTGACCTTCCCCCGAGCACTGGCTCAGGGGCCAGAAGCTGGGCTCTGCTAGGAAGTCAGCCTTCAGAGAGGCAGGGGCCCGAGGGCCCAGGGGTCACGCCTGGCAGCTGCTATGGGTGCTGCCGTCCCTCTGTGATAAGCAGCACAGTGGGCGCGGGTGTGGGGCAGGCTGCTGAGCCCCAGCACCTTTCACGGTGCCCACCCTCTTTCCGGAACACAGCCCCTGCCCTCAGCCCCCCAGGACCTTGTTGGGTCCTGCTGGCCCCTCAAAGCTGGGTCAGCTGTGGGCACAGCTGGCAAGCTGGAGCAGATGTGGGGTGGGGGAAGCCAGGGAGGGCCCCAACATAAGGGAGAGGGTGCAGGGCAGAAGGAAGGGCACTGCATCAGTGTCCTCTCTGAGGAGGCATGCGGGGGCACCTAGGGCCCCTCACTGGGGACTCCTGGGCCGCTGCCCAGTGACAGCAGGATCTAGGGGGAGTGTAGAAGGTCATCAAGGGGCCACCCTGAATGCAGGCCCACCTCCAAACCCTCAGCAGAGAGGGCTCAGTGCCTATTAACCCTCCAGAGCACAGCAAGGAATGTATACATGTGTGTACGTGTGTGTGCACGTGGGTGTTCATGGGCATGGCACTCATGGTAAGTAGGTTGTTGGCACAAGCAGCTAACTAAGTCTTCATGAAAATAAAACTGGACTGTGACTTCATACCAGACTCCATCTGGAAACTATTCTGGGATAGCACTTTTAATTTCTAAAATAAAGCCATAACATTAGAAGATAACATAATTTATATAATCATGGGTTGGGGAATGCATCTGTAAGCATGACTTCAAAAACTTTTCTAAAGCATTATTTTATTAAGAAATGGGTGAACGTGGCTACTTAAAAACCCAAACAGCATTATAAATAAGGTAAAAAAAATAAAAGATTAGTGGGGAAAAATAATCTGTAACACATATGACAGACGACAGCTGAGGTTCTTAGCATATGCAAACCTGGAGACAGGTAAGAAGAGGCAACACGGCAGGAGAGGACAGCAGCCAGACAGGCGAGCAGGACGCTCGCAGGAGAGGAAGGAAACGGCAAGGCAGCGGTCCCCAGACGCCTGCACTGGCCTCAGAGGGAGAGACTGGCAGGCCAGGTCGGCAGGGCAAGTTGGCAGCCACACAGGCCACACGACCTCTTTAAGGCACCATTTCCCCACCCATGAAATGAGAATGACGGTTTGTCCCTGGGGGTTATTTTAAGGATCAAGGCATGGACAGAGCATCTGGACACATACCACAGTTTTACTGATTTTCTCTGTGTTAAACCACAAACCTGGCACCAGGTCTCTGGAAGCCACGGCGGCCACCCTACCTGGATGCCGTGCACGATGTCCTTGAACAACAGTGAGCGCTGAGTCCAGGAGCTCACCAGCTCCACTGCCCTGTCGAAGTTCTTGACATACTCGCCATACATCTTGAGGAATGGGGCCAGCTTCTGCAGGATGTCTCCAAGCCGGGGCTTTGTGTCCCTTTGTGCGAGGGTGGGATCATCAGAGAGTGAGCTCTGGCTGAGGCTTGGGGGGCAAGGGGACGGCGCCTGACTTTTAGCTCTGGGTGGTGGGGGGCAATCCAGTTACTGCCTCTGACTTGTGCGCTCTGCTGTGGCACGTGGGTGGAGATAGAGCATGACCTGGAGGTCATTGGGAGGGTCAGCACAGCCATGGGACCATGGTGCAGAGCCAGGCAGTGTTAGGAGAAAGAGAATGGCTCTGGCACAGGGCCAGGGTTACCAGAGTCAGCACAGTCCCACTTTACTCCTGTAAAGTGAGGAAAGATGAGACAAAATGGGACAGTCCGTGCTCATGATGCCGTGGGAAAGCAGCCCAGGGAGGCACTGACAGTGGCTTGAACAGGGGTTTGGAAATAACTTTCAAGAAACGTAAAAGTAGTCTTCAACTTAAGCACTGTGGAGCATTTATCCTAAAGGAATCATGCAAAATGAGGAAAAACTGCACAGGCACAAAGCCATCCTCTCAGGATTAATGGAGCCCCTGCATGCTCTTACTCAAGGAGCCACACGAGCGTCTACATGCTAACAGCGTCTCCAGGGCCTTGAGGAGAAAACCGGTTCCTAGCAGGTATGGGCTGTGTCAGCCAGAGAGCCAGGCCAGCCCTGAGCTTTGACCCGATGGCCCTGGGGACATAGCATGACCTACTCTTCAGGTGGAGTGCATCCTTCTAGAGATTCATAAACTGACCTGGATGCTGGCTGAGCCTTCTCGGTGAAGGGACACCCCTCCCAATGAAACTCCTGGCCTCCGTGCTCTCCCTGGCCTGGCTGTAGCTGAAGAGGGGGCTCTTGTGTCCACAAGGGGCCAGGCTCCTGATTCCACAGTAGAAACGCACGCTGGCCAAGGCTGGGCCAGGGAAGAGAGGACAGTGCAGAGGCCCTTGCAGCAGCACCCAGAATGGGGGGTGGGGGTGGGCACCAACGTGGAGAGAGGTTGGGGCCACCCTGCGATGCTCATTATCGTGACTCCCTGCCAAGCTGTCCCTCTGCTGAGAATGAGCAGAAGTGGCAGAGGGGCAGAACAGCCCAAGGTAGCATGGGATACAAGGTGCTCTATTGAGGGGAAATCTCATTTTTTTCAAGCAAAGGAGGGAAAATAAACCAAGCACATCAGACCTCATTGGAAGTCCCAGGAAGCCCTGAGCAGGAATTACAGGCCACTTGGTCTGCAGATGAAGAGGCTAAGGGTTGGCCACACTGAGAAGCCACGGGTCAGAGTTGGCCCAGGACCGAGCAGGAAGGAACCCAGGGCACTGGGAAAGGGGCCCACATGCGCCTGTCTGGCTCTAAGGCCCATGAGCCCCAGATGTAGAGGCCACTTGGCAGTGAAAATTTGACAAAGCCGCTGGGACCCTCAACCAGCAACAGTGTGGGAGCAAACTCCTCGGGGGGCGCTGACTGCCCGCTCCAGGCGCCATGAGTCACACTCACCACTCCTCAGTGATCCGCGTGCGCAGCTCAGGCAGGAGGAACTGCCCGTGGAAGCGGTAGATGGAGGAGATGTTGGAGAAAATGCCCGTGGTGACTTCCGGGGGGATTCCTGCTGCTGTCAGCCGGGCACAGAAGACCTGGGCAGGAGAAGCCCACACAGTGGCCAGTTACGACAGCTGCTGCTGCAAGTGTGGGGGTGTGGGAGAAGCCGCCACCACCTCTCGCCTTCTCAGAGAGCTGCCTTCTGTCGGGCTGGCTTGGCCTCATGGCCTTAAAGCAGCCTTACTTATGGCTGAGGACCAGAGGTGAGGCAGAGACAGTCCCCAGTGGGTGGTGGCCCATCTGTCCCCCTCCCACTCCTCGTGGGAAATGAAAGTTCCCCATTTCCTTTCTTTGCTCTGTGAGCTACAAACAGAAGCAACACCTGTCAGAAACCTGGGTTTCTTCTGGAGTTTTACTTCTGTGCTCATAAACTCCACACTTTCACATGCACTGGGAGAGTGCCATCCATTATCCCAATCTCTTATGCAGAAAGATGTCCAGAGGCCATTTACATGCTCCGATAACATGACTGTCTTGAAGAAGGCCCCCAAGGTGACAGGACAAAACCTTTGTTTGCCCTGGAGCTATAACCTTTGAAAGCAAAAAGTAACAATTTCTGGAAGAGACTTAACTTTGCCCAAGTTTTTTTTATTTAAGTCATTTGTGCTCTAACTGTAAGACCTATTCAATGCTAGCAGGCAGAATTTGCCTCTGAAACTGCCACTAAAGCTCTGGTGGTGGACAAAGGCAAGACCTCAAACACGTGGGCTACCTGGTCTAGCAGGTGCAGCCGCCTCACATAGGTCTCCTCGGTGCGCAGGAGCTCCTGGGCAATGTGGAGCAGCTTCTGGGGCCCAGAGCACTGTAGAGAGAGAGCCACAGCTCATCTGGGGAATATGAGCCTGGGGGAGGCAGGGTCTGACAAGGGATGACCAGGGGCCTCAGAGGGCCAGGGGAGGCTGCTAGGACTGGGATGTGGGGCTCAGTTCTCACAGATGGAATTTCCAGGGAGTTTTCTGGAGAAGGAACAACAGTTTCTGCCACCCCCTAAAATCTTCTACAGCCCAGAGACAACTCTCCCCTCCTAAGGCCAGACCACGGAGCAGCTGCAGTGGCCACATCAAAATATTCTGTGGAGTGACATCAGCAATATGGCAGACAGGAAAGCCACAGGTCCTTCTTCCCCTATAGAGATGAGGAGTTACCAACAATATATAAACCAGAATACCTTTGTGTGAACTTCAGAGAACCATGGAAAAGATGCAGCCCTGAAGCCACTGTAGATCCAAGAAGAGTTTCCAGAGAATGGGGCGGGGAAACTGACAACCTTGGTCTGCCCTTTCAGTCACCCCCCATGCAGCACAGCGCAGCATGAGCAGGGAGAAACCTCCTGCGCCTGAGTTCCTCTTTCAGGATGCAAACAAAGGAGTAAAGTGTGCAGTATATATTCTGCCTTGTCTGGGGTTGCCTGAGGGACTGGTTTCTGTCTTGCCTGATTGGAATGCTGTCACGACTAGTGCCGATTTTTGAAAGCCAGTGAAAACAGAGGCAGGCAGCATGTTAGACCTGGTGGTCTGCAGGCAGATGCCAGAGAAGCAAGAAATCAGAAAAGTTAAAAAAGTCCTAGAACCTATAGCCAGGCTGAATGGTGAAGGTCTCCCCCTGCACAAAGGCCATCATCGAAGACTGGAAAGGTGGTTGCTTTCCAAATGTCAAAATTCCAGCAAAAAAAAAAAAATTACAAAGAAACAGGGAAACATGGCTCAAATAAAGAACAAAATTAAATTCTAGAAACCAACCCTAAAGAAACACAGACCTATGAGCTCATAAAAAATTAAAATAGATGTCATATAAAAATGTTCAATTAACTATAAGACAACAAATAGGCAACTAAGTGAAATCATGAAAGTGATGCATGAACAAAGTGAGAATATCAACAGAGACAGAAATGTAACAAAGAGCTGAACAAATTTAGAAATGAGAAATACAATTAACAAGACTGACACACTCACTAGAGAGTTTCAACAGTAGACTTGATCAGGCAGAATAAAGAGTCAGCAAACTTGAAGATAAGTCATTTGAAATAATTGAGTCAGAGAGGAAAAAGAAAAAAGAATAAAGCAAAGGGAGCCTAAGGGACTTACAGGACATGATAAAGTGGATCAACATGTGCATTATCGGAATCACAGATGGAGCAGAAAGAGAGAGAGAGTGGTAGAAGGCTTATCTGAGGAATTAATGGCTGAAAACTTCCCAAATCTGAGGTAAGAAATGGGCATATAAGTTCAAGAAGCTCACAGAATTCCAACTAGGATAAGTTTAAAAAGCACCACACTGAGACCCATTACAATAAAAAAAGGAGTGAGATGATAAATTTAAGTGCTGAAGGAAAAAAACTCACCCCAAAATACCTGATCTGTGAAAGTTATCCTTTGAAGGCAAAGAAGAAATCAAGACTCCCAAATAAAAAATGTTGGGGAATTCATTACCACTAGACATGCTCTACAAGAAATGCTAAAGGGAGTACTTTGAATTGTAATAACATGGTAGACAGCAACAAGAAGCTGTTAAAAATATAAAGTTCTTTGGTAAAGGTAAATGCAGGGACAAATATAGTAACCTATATTATTGTAATTTGGTATATAGAATTTAAATGACAAAAACATTTAAAAACTGTTTGTAAGTCTATGTTAAAGGGCATACAATATATAAATATGTAATCTGTGATATGAATAACAGAGTGGGGGAAGAGGGAACTGTAAAGAAGTTGTTTCTGTGTGCCATTGAGATTGAGTTTTTACCAGTTTAAAATAGAATGCTATAACTTTAAGATGTTTTATGTAATTTCAATGGTAAATACAAAATGTCTATAGAATATATGCAAGAGGGATTGAGAAAGGAATCAAAGTACATCATTACAAAAAATTCAATGAAAAAAAGGGAGGCAGTAAAAGAGGGACAAAAACCTATAAGATATACAGAAAACAAATAACAAAATGGTAATAGTCCTTCTCTCTCAATAATTACTTTAATGTAAATTTAAACCCCCTAACCAAAAGGCATGGATTGGTTGGATAGATTTTTTTAAAAGCACCTAACGATATGCTGTCCACAAGAAACTCACTTTATATTTAAAGACATACATAGGCTGAAAGTGAAAGAATGGAAAAAGATATTTCATGTGAATGATAACCAAAAGAGAGCAGGAGTGGCCATGCTTACATCAGACAAAATAGACCTAAAGTTAAAAACTGTTCGTGATGCAAAGAAGGACATTATATAATGATAAAAGGACCACTTCACCATGGAGATATAACAATTATATATATTGATGCACCAAACCTCATAGCTCCTAAATACATGAAACAAACTGACAGAATTGAAGAAAGAAACAGCAACAAAATAACAGTAGACTTCAATACTTTGCTTTCAATATTGAGGACATGAAGTAAGGAAACAGACAACTTAAATAGCACTGTAGACCAAATGGACCAAACAGACATATATAGAATACACATTCTCCTCAAGTGCATGTGGAACATTGTCCAGGACAGACCACATGTGAGGCCCCAAGACAATTACTAACAAATTCAAGAAGATTGAAATAATATAATGTGTTTTTTCTAATCACAATAGAATGAAACTAGAAATCAGTAGCACAAGGAAAACTGAAAAATCCACAGATAGGTGGAAATTAAATAACACACTCTTAAATAAGAATTAAAGAAGTCACAATGGATACTAGAAAATAGCTAGAGACAAATGAAAATGAAAACACAACATACTGCAGCTAATGGAATGCAGCAAAAGCAGTGTTAAGAGGGATGTTGATAGTGATAAATGCATATGTGAAAAAGGAAGAAAGATTTCAAATCAACTTAACTTTACACCTCAAGAACTTTAAAGAACACACTAAACCCAAATCAGTCAGAAGGAAGGAAGTAATAGAGATTAGAGAAGAGATAAATGAAACAAACAATAGAAAAACAGTGGGCAAAAAAACAACAAAATGGAGTTGTTTTTTGAAAAGACCATTAAAATTGACAAATCCTTAGCTAAATTAACAGAAAAAAAAGAGAGAAGACTCAACTAGTATCAGAAATGAAAGAGGGAACATTACAACCAATGCAAATAGAAACTGCTGTGAACAGTCATACACAAATAAATTGGACAACCTAGAAGAATGGATAAATTCCTAGAAACATACAACGAGCCAACATTGAATTATGAAGAAGTAGAAAATCTGAACAGAACAATAATGAATAAGGAGATTGAATAAGCAATGAAAAAAAATCTTCCCAACAAAGAAAAGTCCAGGATCAGATGGCTTCACTGGGAAATTAGTACCAATCTTTCTCAAATGCTTCCAAAAAATTGAAAAGGAGAGACCATCTCCAACCTCATCCTCTGAGGCCAGCATTACCCGAACATCAAAGCCAAAGACACTACATAAAACTATAGACCAATATCCCTGATAAATATTAATGCAGAAGCCCTCAAGAAAATGCTAGCAAATAGAATTCAATAGCAAATTAAAAGGATTATATACCATGACTTGTTCCTGGAATGCCAAGAGTACTTCAATGCATGAAATTAACCAAGGTAATGTACTACATCAACAGAATATGGAGAGGAAAACCATACACAATCATCTTCATTGATGCAGAAAAAGCATTTGACAAGATTCGTGATGAAAACAGTCAGCAAACTATGAATAGATGGGAACTTCCCCCACATAATAAGGGCCCACCCGATGTGTGTGCACCTGCCCCATCCTACCTGGAAGTGGGGCATAAGGCACTATGTCCCAGGGTTCCTGGTCCAGTGCCTTAACCCAAGGATGGGTCAGTGTGTGACAGACAGTGTTCTAACCAGACCCTGTGACGGAAATGAATCCAGAAGCACTGGCATCTTCCTATTACAGACATGAAGACTTGGGCCTTCCCCAACCAGCCTCTGGTGGCCCTGGGTACACCCCTGGAGCCCCTGTGGGCAGGAGGGGGCCAGGCCTGGCATCTGCACCTACTCCAGCCCCCAGGAGACTGAGGCAGCCAGCAAGTTCTACTGGAGCACACCTTCAGAGCCATAGCTGGTGTGGCCCATAGTAACCAAGACACTTATTTTCTCTATTTCATGATGCATGTCCACCCTCCCAGGGCTGGCTGAGTCACAGAGGCAGGAAGGCCCAGCTGCAAGCCAGGCTTCACATGCAAACCAGCTCCTGCAGAGCCTCCATATCTGCTAATCCCGTACCCCAGTCACCCAGTCTGGTTCCAGATATCCAGGGGCAGCCTGTGCCCAGAGTCCACTGAAATCAGCCCACTCCAATGTGCCCACCCTTCCCCACTTCTCCCTTCTCCCAAAAGCCACAGTAGAGGTTCCTCGCTCACAGTTTCCACTCCCCTGCCTCCTGACTGAGCCTGCTTCTAATCGTGTGTCCCTTGCACAGCACGCCCCTCCTCTAGGGAACCATGAGTGACAAACTCCTTTTTCAATGGCAATTGTCCCCTGATTTGTTGACCTCACCACAACTGAGTAATAATGAAACCTGGGTTAAAACAAGGCCCCGTCCCAGCTCCCAGGAAGTTGGCTGCCATGCTGCCTTCCCCCGCCAGGCCCGTCCCCTGGTGCTGGCCAGGTAGCCAGTGCCATGCCCTGGGAGCCAATAGGTCCAACCCTGGCCACATGCCACCTGTGCTTCTCTTGGGACCCTGTCACCTGCAGCCTCTCCAAGCCATTCTCTGCATGCACAGAATGGCCTCTCTAAGCCAGGAACTGTCTGCTTTATTTCCGTGTCCCCATGAGTTCCAGGACCCAAGGGATGCAGACAAGCTTTCTCTCTAGGCAGACCCACCACTCTGTGGGCACACCTGCTTCCCTGGGCTCTGTGCTTTGGGCCCCACTCCTGTGCCTGGGCTCCTTCCCCATCTCTGCCACATCCGGGGGTGTCCTGGGGTTTCCTAAGATGGGGTGACAGTCACACTGCTTTCCTCTCAAGCGCTCCGCAAGGCGGGCAGGAGCCACCAAGGAAGTATGCTAGCTGTGGCACCATCACCACTGAGGCTGTGCACCTGGTCCCACCCCGGCCACCTTGGGGCAGGGTCTCTGTGCCCCAGGGCCTGTCCACCAACCCATCACTGCAGGGGCCTCTCCGAGTATGGGCATCTGGCCAAGCATGGGTGATGCCCCTGGGCAGAAGGGCAGCCTACCTTGGCAGGGTCCACGTCAGCCCTCAGGGGGCTGTCCTCAGGATTGGGCTCCTCGCTGCTGTCCTCACCCACGTCACTGTCGGCCTCCTCCCGCAGGGCTTTGTCATCGGGGGCCCTCGCCAGGAGCAGCCCCTGGACGGCGTGGCCTGAGCCCACCTCCCTGCCTTCCTCGCGGGGGATGTGCCCCTCGGCCACACTATAGGATGGACTGCCGATCCTGCTGTCCCAGTTAGGGATCTTTGTGCCCCTGCTGGGCCCCCCAGTGGGGCCTGTGTCCAGGGGGCTATCTCCTGCAGTGGCCTGGCTGCCAGCACTCCCGGGGACAGGGTTCCCACTGTGGGCACCCAGCCCGATGGGCAGAGCTTGGAGCTTCCCCTGGTCTGTGCTCGGCAGCTCCACAGAGCAACAGCCAGGCCCGGCATCTGGCATCCCTAGGGCAATAATGGGGGCAGGGGGCCCTGGAGATCCCCCTCCTGACTCCATCCTCAAAGCTGAGCTCTCTGAGCCGAGTGGGGGCTTCCTGTTGGGGAGAAATGAGCATGGTCACCACCACTGGTTGGGCCAGCCTGGGCATCTGCTGAGGACAGTGTGGGGCCGCACCGGAGGGGAATGGACTCTCAGTGCTGAGCCTGTGGAGGGACCAGGAAGAGTGGGGAGCATGGCAGGGAGGCTGGCAGGCTGCTTACCTGGTACACAGCTCCACTGAGGGCAATGGGCAGGCGCTAGGTTCCCTGCTGGCCACATCCGTCCAGGTTCGGCCACCTCCAGCAGCCTGCAGGGCTGGGGGCTCCGCTGAGAATCTTTTTCTTGTCCTGCAAGTTGAAGGCCAACAGTTCAGGAGGTCCTAAAAGAACAGGAAGGGATTGAGAACTGTCTCTCTGCCAGCAGTGGCTGGCAAAGTGGCTCTAAGGAGGGCAGAAGGGCAGAGCACGGCCTGTGATGGTGGAGCTCAGCAGCCCCCCGGCCCCCAACACAGGGCACCTGGCAGCTCCTGGAGCCCAGCTGCAGCTTGGGCCAGAACCGAGTTTGGCTTGGTCACAGGGCACCTCCCAGTGCACAGCCATGCTGGGGCTCGAAGCCCCTCAGGCCCCATACTCATGCCCTCACTCACTGCTCAGCCGCGCTGCCTGCAGCCTCTCCACATGCCCACCTCGCATGAAGTAGAACAGAGAGCTGCTGGTGCAGACGTGGTCTCACAGACACAACCAAACTGGTGTCTCCAGCCTGCCCCACCCCCGCCTGCCCCCACCACGCAGGGGTAAGGGCTGCAGAAGCCTCCCCGCGGGCCAGCGTCCTCCAGAGCCGGCCTTGCTTTAAGTGACGCCACACCAGGGCAGGATTCATGTTTGTCATTGGCTGTGCTGCACTCTTAAGGAGCTGAATGCAGAGATACCGTAAGATTTCTAAACAGAAAATGCACACTTTGCTGCGTTCCTCTCACAGCACAAGAGACAGACTTGAGTTTCCAGAAATCAGACATAGCACAGCTGCGAAAACATGCCAGATGGAATGCGGGCCGGGCACTGAGCTTCAGTGCGGCCCAAGGCAACCAGCTGGCACCAGGTGGGACCCACTGCAATCCCACCTCAGGGCTCCCTGCTTCTGGTCAAGGGGGAGTAACAGGAACCAGAGTTGCTCTCTCCCCTGAAACAACCAAAAGTGGATAAAACACATGGAAGAGCAGCTTGAGAGATGCGGTAGCCAGGCAGCCGAGCACAGCAGGGCTGATGCAGCCAGCCCCTGTGGCCTGGCTCCCTGCCTGAGAAGGGGGCCCCAGGTAGACCCCTGAATGAGGAGTTGGAGCTGAGAGACCAGAAAGACCAAGGCAGCCAGAGGTCACAGGACACAGGAGGGCAGTCCTGCAAGGAAAGAGGGCAGAGGGCTGTGGAGAGAGGAGTGGGCTCACACAAGTGCCGGGAGGCTGTGGGGAGGGGATGGCTAGGTCTGCTGGCGCAGGTGCTGGGAAAAGCACAGGGCTCAGCATGAAGACATCCTCCAGGGTGTGGAGTGTGGGAGGGAGGGAGGTCCTGGGTGCAGAACAGCTGGAACCACCTCCACCTGATTCAGGAACCTGCAGGAGTGGCTCACTCACTAAGTCTGGTGCCCTGCTGCCTTTCTAAGGCCAGGGCACACCAGGCAAGCCAGCCTGCCCTCCCACTGCTCAGGGCAGTGGGGCACTTCAGGGAGGGGACACATGTGCTCATATGCCCACACATACACACATTTCCACAATGTGCACACAAGCACACACATACATATAAACACTCCCATGATGTGCCAGGAGCTATGTAGGCACTTCTGCGCTCACTCAGTCTGACACCAAGGTGTGGCGTTCTGAATCTCAGAAAAGGATGCCAAGAGCGATACTGGCAACGCTGGCCTGGCAGGAACCAGCACCTGGGAGCTGCGCCCACCACAGATGCTGTATGAACCCTTGGACTCAGCCCAGGGGCCAAGCCATGCCATCACATGGGAGCTGAGGGGCCGCCAATTCTCTGCCCGGCCACTCAGCTTCCTCCTTAGAAGTCCTGCGCTGCCTGAGCTGAGTGAGGCCCCAGCTCCCACTGGTCCATGCCTAGGTGAGCTGTGCCCAGGTGAGCCAACCCCAGGTGAGCTGCAGGACTTGGCCAGGGCCTTGGACACCTGGGCTGTTAGCACTCCGCAACAAAGGCCCCAGTATGGACTAGGGGAGGCTTGGGAACTGCAGAAACATGGAGAAATTAAGTGGTCCCACTATCCAGGGTGTCATGGGCCATTTCAGCAGCTGCGTCCACAGCAGCCAGGGGATGGGACAGCAGAAGTGCTGCAGCCCCTGCCCTGGAGCCCTGTGCTGCTCGGTGGTTGCACAAGAAGGACAGACGGACCGTGAGCCTGCCAGCCCCCCAGCTCCCCTGCCACCAGATATCCCATCATTGGGGGCAGCATGGGAGCCCCTGAAGGCCACCACACAGATCCCAATTGTTGCCTGGCACCTGGCACGCTGGGGGACACACAGGCAGGGGATGCCCTTCTCTGATCCCAGAAGATAGCTGGCATGAGTCTGAGAAGAAGCCTTAGAAACTGTCTCCACCCTCCTGGCAATGGCACCAGAAAACCAAGTGACAGCTGCCGACTGCGCCTCCAGCCCAGGTCTGGGAGATAACAGTGCTCGGTGGGGCTGCTCTTTATGCCACCACAGTCGGGCCACTGGTTACCTGGAGCAGGTAATGTGAAAAACACTGACCAAGCCCTGGGTGTGCAGCGCACCTGCATGCATGGGCATGGCTGGGAGACAGGTGGCAGAAGCCTGAGAGGCTGCATCCACAGTGAGACAGGCCTTCCACACTGGCCATGCCAGGCAGAGTGCCCCGTGCCAGTCAGAGAAGCTGCCCCATGACCCAGAGGGGCATCAGCTCCAGGGTCAGGCTTGGAAGCACGGGGCCTCCACCTGGAAGGTGCTCTTGGCTATAGCTGGTGTGGCCCAGGATCTCCACACTGTCTGCTGAGAACACAGAGTAGCCACAGGTGCCACAGGTTGCCACCTGCTTGGGGCTTTGACTGCAGCGTGGGACCTGTAGGGAGGATGGGGTACCAGGGAAAGCAGAGCGGGCAGAAAAGGAGATGGTTCACCTGCCTATCCCTGCTTTCTGACACACCTGGTCAGATGGTCCCCAAACTGCTCACAGCATCACTTCCAAAGTTACTGAACTTTTTAAAACTGTGTGACTGATGGGCCCTTTTTAGAAAACTTAGAAATTATGGGGAAACAAACAGGAAATAGCAGTTCCCATCACCCTGGCACTGGGATATTTATATAGGTGGTGGCTGCAGGTGGCCCCACAGGCTGGGTGACAGGGGGTCCAGGTGACTGCAGCTCTTCTCAGGCCACCAGTTCCACCAGTTCCAATACAAATCCACTATGTCCTCAAGAACAAATTTCTCCCAGAACTGAAGGCAGAGACTCAACAGGTATCTGCACGGCCATGGTGACAGCAGCATTATTCACAACAGCCGAAAGGTGGGCGTGGCAAGCTTGGCTTCCTCCAGCCTCATCTCCTTGCCTGTAGAATGCACACAGCAGTCCTGCCAAGTCCTGAAGCCTGAGGCCCCGTGGGGCACTCCATCCCACTCGTCACGTGGACGTTGTCACGGCCTGGGCAGACCAACCTGGCTGGGACCACTCGTGGGCCAAGGGCTTCACCCAGTTGTGTTATCATGTCATGGAGCAGGTGGAAAGGCTGCTGAGCCCCAGCAGGACCTGGCAAAAGCATGCAGTAAGCATGGTGATGGTGGTTTGTGCCCAAGAAACTCCCGGCAAGCAAGGCCAAGGGCACACAAGGCTGAGGCTAGAAGTCCAGCTCAGGACTGCATGTGCCTGGGAACAGACCACACACACGGCTCTGACTTAGCCTTGTTACTTAGACATTTACTTAATATTTTTCTTTTACTTCCTGTTTTTATTTTCTATTTTAAGTTTTCTATACTAATTTATTGAATTTCTACCTTCTGTTTGGTTTCTGCTTTTAGTTTACCTCATCTAGAAGGACTAAAAGCACATCAGTCACTGTCTTGCCATAAAGAAAGAAACTGTAAAAATAAAGTCATGACCTTTACGATGGACAGTGTGCCCTCACTCCATTGATAGCCAGATGTGTGGTGAAGCAAGTCTCAGGGTGGGCACAGCAAAGCTCCTGGAGTTTGGCTGCGTGTTTGCAGTTTTTCACAGTTAAGTTTGGGGGACCTGCTGATCCTCGCAGCACTGCAGACCCTGGCCAGTGCCTGGGGTACGGCAAGGGCCCCCCTGGCCATGGTTTCCACTAGTCCGACTGACCTCCGCTGGGCTCACTGAACAATTCTTTCTACATGGATTACGTTTGAAATTTTCATTTTAGAAAAGGAATGAAACAAACAAGAACCTTCTGACACCTTCCCACCCTGAACACTGTGGCGGCCCCATTCCCCGCGAGCGGTCCTGCAGCAGCGGCTGGGTCCTACTCCGGGTGAGCCTCCACTCTCCCGTTCCCCAGGGGCTCCTGCCCTGCCAGCCCCGCACCTGGCTGTGGGCTGGGTGGAGACCTCCTCAGCCACCTGGTTTCCCTCCTGGCACACAGGACCTGGCAAGTGTTTGGTGACCAAAGGAACAGCCTACATTTCCCTTCCAGTATATGCTTCTACATAAATATTCAAAAACATGCTTAGCTGAGTCCAAGTTTTGAAAATACAAAATCTAAATTGATATTACAGAAGGTCAAAAGCCACCTCCTACAGCTATGTCCCGGGTGCTGACAAGCTCCCAGTGACCTAGCAAAACCCTGGGGCTGATCATTGTCCAACTCACTGGGGACCATGAACAGTCATCACCACCATCCCTGGGAGCCCAGACACAGGGAACATGTCCCATTAGGGGACACATCCCAAACAGAGGGCAAAGAGCCCCAGCCAGAGGGAATAGCATCCCAGACTAAGGGAACAGCAACCCAAGACACAGGGAACAGCATATCAGACGGGAAGGGCACAAAGGCAAACAAGAGCCAGCTGTCTGAGAGCGGGCAGTGTTCCCAGAGGTGGAGCGGCCAGGACCCAGGGATGGCTCCATGGCGCATTTCAGAGTCACAGGCAGCCAGGGGGCAATGCAGGTGGGTGACATCCCCTCCAGGTCTGTCCTCCTGGTGACCCCATGCTCATCCCTGCTAAGGTGGGGCCTCTATTTCCCCTTTTGTCAGTGCAGTCATCGAAGCCCACATGGGTGGGAGAGAGGCTGTGGCAACGCGTTGCTCCCGCCCAGCCCCGCCCATCGCTCTCAGCGCTCAGGCCTGCAGAGCCTGCCCTCAACTCATTTACCTCAGCTGCCTCCACCCACCAGCGAGGCCAGGCCTTTGCATGTCAGAGCACACAGGCCTGTCCAGTTTTAGGGGCTCTGCACTAAGAGGTGCTGGCCCTTGTGCTGAGATAGGCCTCAGCAAGGAGGAACCAAGCCTTGGCCTCCTGCCACTCCAGGCCAGGAACAAACCACTTCCTCCCCCCAAACCCAGTCCCACCCAGCCCTAGGGCTGCCTGTTAGCGAGCCATCATGCTGAGAAGGTTTGGGCTTGGGCCCCACCGGTCAGCTCCAACGCCGTGGAGGGCACAAGGGGGTCTCTGTGTGCCTCCATTTCCTCTCCTGCAAAAAAGTCCTAACGTGTCGGTCCTGGGTGCCCCTGAAGACAGATGCAGCAGCAGAGAGTTGCCGCAAGCACGCCAGCCCCACAAGTGCCCTGCTCGCCTTGGGAGCCTAGCCCTTGGGCCCCACTTCACAGGCAGAAGAGCAGCTGCCCATCATGGGGCTGGGACGGACTGTGCCAAGGGACCCTGTGGCCCTCCAACAGTCCAGGCACTTCCCCTGCTGGCTCTCCCCAGTAGGGTCCCAGAGGCATCCTTCTATCCCCCATGGGGGCCCCACAGCACCTCCCAGACCTCAGAAAGCTGGAAAAGGGGGCTCAGCCACATCTCAGGACCCCACTCTGCAAACCGAGGGCAGGGGAGCAGGCACTTTGAGGGCATCTGGGCCCTACAACATTACTGCATCACAAACAGGCAGCATCTGGCTGTTCCCACTGCCACCATGTCCTGCCCAGCCTGCCAGCCACAGTCCATCTGTCAGTATCTAAACTTCAAATCACACAGAAACCTTACAAAGCCAGTTGTGTTGGAAGGCCTGGCCCCCTAGGGACTGTGTGTGAAACCATCACACTCCCTGGCCCAGGCAAAGAAAGGCCCACCCTGACTCAGGCCTACCTCTAAATCTGGGCAGCCACAGCCCTGGACCCCCCAGGCCAAGGTTCATCTTTGCAGGCAACACTGGCCCTCCCAGTGGAGCCCCACACTTGCCGTCTGATGCTGCCCATGAAAGCCAGGCAGTGGGTCACAACCAGGAGCCACCGGGCGCACAACAGAAGCTTCCTGCCTTGAAGACATCTGGCACCAACAGCCCCAGCTCTGCATGTCCCCAGTCTCCCAAAGGACCCTCCAGGACCACAGGGCCCTCAGGTGGCAGAAAGTGGCTCCACTCACCTGTCTCCTGGGCACACACTTCTCTCTGATGACTTTGCACAGCAGCAAAGCAACTTCCTTGTGTTGGTTTTCACAGCCTGGCTCACCAGAGACGGGTGTTTGCATTTCCGCCCTGTCACAGTGAGCTGCCGGTCGCTGCCTCCTGTGAGAAAATACAGCCCCAGTTGGCTGGAGCCCTGCCCTAGGGTGGCTTAAAGGTTAACGGACTGGCCCTGGGCCGCCAGCAGGGCGGGGGCAGCAGCCATCTGCCCATGCCTGGAGGCTTTGCGAGCAGGCCCTCAGGTGGTCCTGCTGAGGACGGCCCAGCAAGCGTCCCAGGCGTAGTGGTCTTTCTAGGTAGGAGCAGAGGAAACTGCCAGGGATCAACTGAGCTGAAAGCTGGTTGTTTCAGTTATTTGAATGGTGCTCTGGGTGCCCCCTCCCCCGGGAGGCCTTCCCCACGAGGGTGTGATTTCCAGAGAGAATAGAGACCCAGGGTTCCCACAAGGCTTAGGCCACGAATTCTGACACAGTGTAAACAATGGCTTCTCAGCCAACCCTACAAGCTTTCTCAAAAACAAAGTGATTTCTCTGGGCCTCGGTTCCTAATGCCTCCAAGGGCCAGGGGTGCACATGTAGAGCCTCCCTCCTGGAGGCAGTGCTGGACATGCATGGAACACATGAGTGTGATGAAATCAACAGGGGCTAGCTGCATGGGCCTCCTGGGGCGCATGGCAGGGCATCTGTGCACTGTCCAGGGGTGCATGGTGGGATGTCTCTGCACCACCCAAGGGTGCACAGCGGGGTGTCTCCGCACTGTCCCAGAGATGTCCACACAGCTGGAGAGCACTGGCTCCCATGTCCACTTCCTTCAAAAATCTGTTGCTGCTGGGGCTGAGGGACACTACCCATTTTAATGCCACCAGATGCTCTTCCTTTTAACCCCAGATTCCAAAAATTCTAAGGCTGAGTTGCTGACAGGCACTGGTACCCCGATGAACTATGGTCAGAACCACAGAGTGCCAGCCCGACTGACTGCCTCCAAGAATCTGAACAGTGGGTGGGGATGAGACCCATCTTGCCTGCTGGCCAGCCCTCATCGCCAGGAATCCTGAGCTGCCCCAGCCAGAAGGCCCGTGTCTCAGGGCCTCTAGGCTCACACACTTGCTTGTGGGCTGTGACCTCCTTGAGCTGTGGAACCCCTCAGAGCCCCAGTCACTCCTCCACAACTTGTAAGAATGCAGGATGCGAGGCTGGAGTTTCTGGAGGAGCAAGAGCCTGGCAGGGGGTTCCTTCTGATGCTTCCAGCTGGGCTGGAAGGACAGTACCTGCCACCCTCCCCAGACAGCCTGGCACCACCTGGAGTCCCAGGCTCAGACCCTTATTGTGTGGAAACGGCATAAGAAGGCAGAGAAGCTGTAAAGACAAAAAAACACCATGTCCCTAGGTCATGTGGGTGCCTGGCCAGAAAGCAGCCCTGGGGCAAGAGTCCGCACATACTAAGGGGCACCTCGGCTGGGGAGGTGACACTGCCCGACAGGAGACATGCTTGTGGCAGCCGGCCCCCAGGACAGCCGGGTGGTGGTGGCCACCTGGCATCCTGTGTGGGGCAGCAGTGCCCCCTCTGGATCATGCTGACCTAGCGACGTGGCCCACAGGACCAGCGGAAATGCTGGGGTGACTCCTGGCCAGATCAGAGAGACCTTCGTGGCTACTGCCTTTCTCTCCTGGGTCCCTTGCTCTAAGCAGCAGCCAGGCCAGGAGGACCACCACTGACCCCAGCTTACTGGGGTGCAAGGAGTCACCAGACAGGCCCCCAGCTGAGACCACAGCTCCCAGACAACCACAGCCTCGCCAGAGACTCTGCACTGGAGCCAAGCTGCACCCAAATTTCTGACCCACCAAAACTAACAGAATTGACAAGAATTTCTGTTCTTTTAAACAACTGGGTTTGGGGTGATTTACAGTGACAAATGGGTGATGGTGACCTAGGTCCAGGCCAACCCACAGTGGGGAGGCATCTGCAGGCACTGAGGCACATGTCCCTGATTCCCCACCCAGTATTTCACTCATGATCCCCAGCCTGAGGGTTCCCGGTGGTGATAGCTCCACAGGTCAGAGGCTCTCAGTGAGGGCTGCCCACCACTCATCCACCCTCCAGGATGGCACAGGGGCCATGCTCATGAAGGGTCCTCAGAGAGCCCCAGCCCCTCTGCAGAAGGCAAAGGGACCCAAAAAGCTGGGTGCCCAGAGGGGCCTGTGTGACCAAAGGCTGTAGTGGGCAGGTGGGCAAGACCCTTCACCCAGGGGGCGGCCACTCTTTTCCCTTAGGAGGTGACCCACGGGAGAGGCCTGGCCAGCTGAGAAAAACCGTAGGGGAATGCTGGCTGGGGCAGAGCCCACACCCTTGGGCTGCTTCCCCAGGAAGGTCTGCACAGTGCAGGGTGGGAAGAAGGATGTGGCCTCACTGGTAAAGGCCAGGCTCATAGAGTCCCTAGGTCACGAGTGTGGATTCTGCCCAGCCCCCAGCTCCCTGGTTCACTGTTCACTCCCAAGCACACGACATCTGCTGGCAGGACAGAGACGGTCATGGCCCTGGGTGTGGCAGCCTGTGCAGGTGCACATTGGCTCCTCTGCCGTGATCTGGTGTGATCTCACCAGAAACCCCCAAACAAGCATATTATTCCCATTCTGCAGATGAGGCGTGGAGGCTCAACCCCAATCTCCAGGGTGAATGGAGGATGAGGCCTTCAGGGAACACAGAGGTGGGACGTCTGCCCAGGCCCACCCAGTGACAGCACCAGGCTGCAAGTGAGCAAGGTGTGCATGTAGGGCAGACACCCTTGCAAATTGGTGAGGAAAGCATGAGCTGCAGAAATGAGGAGAGGGGTAAACATGGATCACCACCTCTTATCATACACATAAATCAATTCCAGATGAACCCAGACCAAATATGAAGAGCAAGGAAAGCCAAACCTTTTGGAATAAAATTTATAAAAGGGTCCTTATGACTTCAGGTAAAAGAAAGTTTTAAGCATAATTCATAAAGGAAGGGGATTGATGCACATGAACATGTAGACTGTCTACACAGCCAAAGAAACAAAAACACAAGGGGAAAGGCCAGCAGGGGCCATGCCTAGAACACAGAGCAGGTTTATGGTTCTCAGGACCAGGCACCCTCCAGGAGTCCAAAGCTGGAAAGAGGCAGCCAGATGTTGAGACTCCTGGGCACACGACACCCAGAGTGAGCATGCACCCTTCCATGTTTTGGGTTTTAGACTGTACTTTTTTGAAAGTAGGAATGTTGACAGGGCACCACACTTCCAAAGGCTCAAAGTGGTGCATGGTATGTGCATGGTATGAACGTCTCTGCCCAGGATGCATACAGGCTCTCCTCCCCTGACAGCACACCTTGGTGAGCAAGGGCAGGAGTGGCAGATCTGAAGGGGCTGGAGGCTTAACTGAGACACAGAGGGACCAGGAAGCTGGGTGTAGGGGCTGCAGTGGGGGAGACCCGGAGCTGCCTGGGCCCAGTCCAGGCCCTGCACCCACCGGCCTCACAGGCTATGCCTGCAGTCACTGAACACAGACACGCCAAGAGGCTCACAGCCCCTTCCCCAGGCTACCACGAAAAGGCCTTTTAATTTGAAAATGACAACACTGTTTTGAGCATTTTATTACAGAGTTTTTCCAAACACAGGTTCTCTGATGGGTGCACAGAACATCAGGTCTCAGTTTAATTGGGGTTTTTCAGAGCCCTGGAGTTCTGGGGTGCTGATTCAGGCCCACTGGCGGTTCTGTGGGGGAGAAACAAGAACGTGGCAGCCAAGCCTACCCTTCTGTGGTGTGAATATATCCCATGGGCTATTTGGGGCATGGCTTTGTCATGGGACATACTTACATGGCTGCTTGTCATTCTCCTGAAATTCCATGCTTTGTCTCCCAACCTTAATTCCATGCCACTAAGCTGGGCCTAGCTGGTCCCTGGGAGCCCAAGGTGAGGCTAGGCAGCCACACACAGCTAGCTGCCTTTATCCCCCATGCAGACGGGCTGACCCACGTCAGGGGCCCACACCCTGCCACCACGCCCTCCCGTCCCGCCCCAGCTGGGCCATTGTTTGGCCACCACAGTCCTCTCCATTAGCACTGGGACCCTCTCTAGGTAGGGACAATGAGCTTTTCTCTGCACCATTGGCTAAAATCAAGTGACGGATGCAGGACACCCACACGGCACCACCCGGGTTCTGGAAAAGGCTCAAATGCTTTTCATGCTCCTACGACCAGGGCCATTGGAAAGGTTTATCCTCAGCTAGCAACACCGTTCTGGGGCATGCTGTGCTTCCATGGGTGTGGCTCCCTGGACAGGCAGAGGTGAGCCCGCATGTGTTGGCAGGCCTTCTTGCAAAAGTATCAGAACAATTAACATCACAATCCCAGGGCCCATTTCAACGCCTGTGCCAAAAATGAGGGTTTTTACAGTATGAAATACCAAACAGTGTGAACTGGCAGCTTGCTGTGGTTTGTCCGCATCGTGAGCGTGAGGGGGCAGAACAGCGGCGCCACACCCACTTCACTAAATACACAGTGGCATCCAAGATAGGGTGCTGGTGCCATCTGACTACAGTCTAGCTTCTGGTGTTCCTAAGTGCAGCCCAGTTACAAAGGCACTAACAGTGGAAAATCTATGTGGAGGGCATACAAGAACTCTGTATGATCTTGTTCCAGAATAAAACTATATTAACTATAACCTACAAAACTATAAAATAACTATAAAGCTATTCCAGAATAAAAGGTGTTTATGACCAGTTGTTGATGTTTTAATGAGCTGGGACAATCCCTTGGTAGGTCACAGAGGGTTAGCTCTGCGCCAAACTCTTATCCCTGAAAACATTTCACGTTCTGAACAGCTTCCAGCTCATGTGTGAATCAGGAAGCAGCCTGAGGACAGAGGATCAAAGCCATCACCAGATATAAAGCATGTCTGATGTTGACATGACTCAAAACACATTTGATTTTGTTGCAAAATGGCTCAGGTTTTGTTTTCTTAAGATTCAGATGGATGCCCCCCGTTGTGGGTCACCACCGTCATTTAGTCTCTGTGGGGCACGAGTGGGCTGTGGAGTGATGCAGAAGCCAGTGACTCAGGGCATG